TTTTGTAGAGACATATGCTGGAGCATTGTCAGTTTTTATTTGTGCAGGTATACCCGTAACTGCCATCACCTCTAGCAGGTGTGTAATAACAGAATCAGCTTTTTCAGAGTTAAAAGCAGTAGCCCATTGGAACCCTGAGAATGTGTCTATAGTATGATGCACATATTTCAAATTTCCAAACTCTGTAAAGTGAAAGACATCCATCTGCCAAACCTCATTTCTCCGAATGCCCTTAGGATTACAGCCTGCTGGCAGTGGAGTTTGGTTATAAAAGGAACAAGCAGGACAGTTTCTCCTTGGCTTGTTGCCAAGTGATAGAGAAGTCCTTTTTCAAACCTTTGCTATTTACATGATGTTTCTTATGAAATTCTGAGGCTTCTAGCACAGTGCCAATCAATAAATGATCAATCTCATCATTGCCTTGTGCTAGTGGGCCTGGCAGACCCGTATAGGATTTGATATGTGTAATGTATAGAGGATTACTTCTGTTTCTGATTGTTTCCTGTAATTGTAAAAACAGAGAAGTTAATTCTGTATTATCAGGAACGAAATCTGCAGTCTCAATGTGTAAAATGCCTCTTTCTGCATATTGAGAATTAGTAACTATATTAAGAGGTTCTGTAAAATCCATAAGTACTATGAGAATTGCATATAATTCTGCCTTCTGTACAGATGTATATGGACTTTGAACTATTTTACTTACCTCTCCTGATTTTTAACCTGCCTTACCTGATTTGTTGGTATCAGTGTAGAAGGTAAGGACTCCAGAAGTAGGAGTTTTTTTATAATATGTGAAAGAATCCAGACTGTCTTTTTTATGAATTTAATTCTGTCAGTTTTGGCATAGTTGTTGCTGATCGTTCCCAAAAAGTCAATAAGAGCTATCTGCCAGTATTCATTGTCCTTCCACAAGGAGGAAATTTCTTCATTAGTTAAAGGTTTATAATTTCTGCTGGATCTTTTCCAGGCAGTTGACGAAGTCTTTAATTTGCCCTTTAGAATCAAATCAGAAATCTTTTCTATATATGTCTTTAGCTTTTTATTCTGTTTATGTGGCAGGAATATCCACTCCAATATAATATCTTCTCTCTGCATCAGAATTCCAGAAGGGTATTCTCTGGATTGTAAAGTGACCGGAATTCAGTCTAGATTAGGGTCTGCTAGATCCACGTGTGCATCCAGTATTCTGCTTTCCACCCATTGTAACTCTTTTTCTGCTTCAGCAGATAGTATTCATGGACTGTTTAAGTCCTTGTACCCTTTAAGGGCCATTTTTAAATGCTTTAAGTCATGTCCTTCTCCACCAATAATCAAGACACAGCTGCTCCTGACACACCAATTACGTCACAAAGGAGGATGGCCATCGAAGAAACTCCTTATGGAGTTTGCCTTCAACATGGCAAGATTAGCCGTTTGGGCAAGAAACTGCTCTTGCCTGGACTGTTTGTTGCTGTATAAAATGGACATGCAGGACCCACAAGAAAGTGACTGCTGAACTTACAAAACAAGATGAACAGTCAGTCCTGAAGGGTTCCTGTTGAAATGGAGAAGTGTGCCAGACACACTGTGGCCTATGGGCTGAGGATGGATGCCCCAACGTTACAGAGGAACTTTGGGTGACTGTCCAGGTAGTGATGTCTCTGTCAATTCTAGAGTTTATATATTATCCTTCTGTGGTCTTTGATAGAGTTGAAGACAGATAGTTATGGTTATAGTTTTCTTCAGTTATTATAAGAGATAAGTTACCCTTCTTTTTGTTTAGTCAGAAGAGAAGATGATGGGGAAGTGCTTCTGTGTGTGTGTCCGTCTTATTGGACGATAAGTAAAGTACTGTTTGGCCAATGAGGAGGAACTTATGCGGGACTAGGAGTGAAGGAGGATTTGGGGAAATGTAGTAAAGAAGCGTTGTTATCCAGGCAGGAAGTGCCATAGCAGGGACACTCAAATATAAGCAAGAGCAAGAAGGAAGTCACCCCCCACCCCCGCTCTCTTCCTCCTGGTCTCTGCTCTGGAGTCGCCGGCAACAGAGGGCGCCAGTAAAAAGTGTCTGATAAGTTTTATAAAATATATAGATTTATGATAATTAAGACTGAGCTAGCAGATGAGAATCCTAGTCATTGGCCAAGCAGCATTTGTACCTAATGTAACTCTCTCTGTGTTACTTGGGACCATAACACGACAGAACTTGCGCGGCCGGGCAGAAAGACTTCTTGTTACACCTGTGTCTCCAATGCTCCTCCCCTTTTTCATGTTTATTTAATATGTCCTGGTTTTGGTTGAATTTGGTTCATCTTAACAAACAGAGATTCCATGGTACCCTGTTAATGTAATTTGGTTCTAACAGTTAAATTGAGAACCAAGAGAAAATCCTGTTTTTAAAATAGCTCAATTTCTTGAATGAAGAGAAATAGCCATAAAGTGATATTGTAATGGATTTTTCATTCATCCAAAACACTGCACTCTGACATGCAGAGTATACAGCATTAAACGGAACATTCCTGTTTCCTACTTGCTCTAAACATGTAAGTCATTAAAGCTGAAAAATACAGTACCATTCATACAATTATAAATTCAGTGAGTGCCATGAAGACAAGCCCCAGAGCATTGTACTTTGGCTAGGATGGTCAGATGTGCCTGAAATTGATTCCTGAAGGTTATGGCAGAGCTGGAGGAGGAGAAGTTGAGGGAGACAGGAATTTGACATGGATCTAAGCCAGTCAAGATCTTTGTAAGTTCAGAGTGTTGAGGGCAGGATGAAATGAGGAAGCTGGTCTAAGTAAACTCGTGAAGGACTTGATTTCTTTCTGCTAGAAGACACTTGCTAGAATTGATAGGATTTTTGTTTGTTTGCTTTTTTTTTTTTTTTTTTCTTTCATTAACCAGTTCATTATAGGCCCGGCAGAGTAGAGAGGGTAAGAGAGAAGAGAAACAAAGTTAATGGCTGACCGCCATGGAGAGAGGAGAAGAGACAGAGAGCTGTTTGTTTGACTTTTAAAAATCTTTTCTGTGGACCTAGGAGCTGAGTAAAAGTGGAAAAGGGCATGAAAAGACGTGAATAAATGCGTGTGGAGAGATGATGGTTTGGACCAGGGTGAGGGCAGTAGGCGTGGATGAAATAGAAGTCTGAGGTACATTTTAGGAGCATAGAAATAATGGGACTCGGTGGCAAACTTAAGTTGAGGAAGAGTAGGTATGAAGATCAGAAGAGAGCTTTAACGTAGAAAAAATACAAGCTTGACATCGAGAAACGTGAGAACTAGCACATGAGGCGTTTGAGGCCCTATAAGACGTTTTCAGGCGCTGTCCTACAGTCCCATCATTTGGAGGCTGAGGCAGAAGGATGACGAGTTTGAGGCCAGGCAGGCTATGTAGCAAGACCCCAGAGGGGGTGAGGGGTGCAGAGAGAAGTGTCATAGACATCAGAAGTAAGTCAGCACAGTGTCGTACTTGCTCAGCAAGGACGTTGTGTCTGGAGGAAGGGGTCATCAGCTGTGCCCCTACTCTGAGAAGCCAAATATCATGAAGGTGGAAAGGTGCTGTCCATTGAGGAGGTCATTGGCGACTTTGGGAAGAACATTGGGACACAGTGGAAATATCTGGGGATGAATTGGGAAATGAGGTAAAGAAGTAGGAACCTGGTGCTGCAAGGTAGGTGTGTCCACTCATCCTGGATGTTAAGGTGAGGTTCTCCAGAAGTGACCCACCAGTGACCTCAGTCTTAGACGATGAGTAGGAGCTGAATCAGACACATAGCAGCATGAAACAGTGTCAGTCTCCACTTGTAGATGGACCAAAAGTCCTGGGACACAGTACTGCCGGGTTAGTCTAGAGAGGTAGGTCATAGAGAATCTTGCCTGTCATGATCCAGTACTCACTGGTCATTGAATTTTACTGTCTATAAGAGACTAGGCTAAACTTGACAGGCAGAGGCAGGCGCATCTCTGTGAGTTTGAGTCCAGCCTGATGTACAGAGTGAGTGCCAGGACTACACAGTGAAACCCTGTCTCGAAGGAAGGGAGGGAGGGGAAAAGAGGGGGGGAGAGAGAGAGGACAGAGACAGAGACAGACTGGACTGAGACTTCATGTACATCACCCTAGTTAGTCTTCCTAGATGGGTGTAGTTCTTTATCCTTATTTTGTCAAAGAATACCCTGAAGGTACAGTGGTTGAGTAATTTGTACCATCTATCGGAGTCAGGATTTCAAGAGCTATTTATCTTATTCCAGAGTCATACTCGTTTTACTTTCTAGATTGTTTTTCAATATGGGTGTTTTGACACTATGAATGTATATATACCATGTTTGTCCCTGGGGTCCACATAAGTCAGATCCCTGGAGCTAGAATTGTACATCACTGTGAGCCTCCATGTGAACACTTGGAAGCAAACCCAGCTCCTCTACAAGAAAAAGAGCTATCTCTCTAGTCCCAGTGCTCTCAACGTCTTACCTGTTATGTGGTTCAGGGATATCCAATAAATCATGGGCAGAACACTGTTGGCATAATTTATGTAACAAGTCAAATTTCTGTTTTCTCCTGAAAATTTGTAAGAATCTAACAGATGTATGAGAGATTTGAGAAAGAAGAGGAACTTAGAAAATGTTGCTTTTCTGTTAGCAGTCCCTACAGGATATAGAGCAGTGCTGGGTGATGGTGAGGAGCAGTGTTGGGGTGATGGTGAGGAGCAGTGTGGGGGATGGTGAGGAGCAGTGTTTGGGGATGGTGAGGAGCAGTGTGGGGTGATGATGGTGAGGAGCAGTGTTGGGGGATGGTGAGGAGCAGTGCTGGGGGATGGTGAGGAGCAGTGCTGGGTGATGGTGAGGAGCAGTGTGGGGTGATGATGGTGAGGAGCAGTGTTGGGGGATGGTGAGGAGCAGTGCTGGGGGATGGTGAGGAGCAGTGCTGGGTGATGGTGAGGAGCAGTGTGGGGGATGGTGAGGAGCAGTGTGGGGTGATGGTAAGCAGCAGTGTTGGGGGATGGTGAGGAGCAGTGTGGGGTGATGGTGATCTGCAGGAGTGAGAGAGAACTGGGGTGACTGGATGGCAGTGATTCTCAGGAAGATGAATGTAGTTTACCATTGAATTGGAAGTGCCTTGAGATGTCAAAGTGGAAAACATCTTGATCACAGACATAAACGTGAACAAAATGACCGTAGGAGTTTTTCAGGTTCATCTTTCAAATAAAATCTTTCACCCCACACCCACAGTATGTTCAGTATGTTCAAATGCATTCGGTGCTGACGTTGTTGCAATTTTCTAATTGTCTCCTTGGACCCCAATTTTGGGTCCCCCGGTCCTTTTCTAAAAGTTTCCCTGTTGCTTTTATTTATACACGTTTGATGACTGCTCCTCTGGGTTACAAGAAACCATTCCTCAGCATGTTGTAAAAGTCTTCCATGATCTAACTCCGTTTTCCTCCCCAGCTTCATTCCTTACCACCCTCAGATGCTCACTGTGTGGCTCGGCATCTTCCCTGCTGCACGCCTCCATGCCTCTGTAAATTTCCCAGCGCCTGCAGGAGTTTTGCACCTGCCCTTTCCTTGTTCTTGATCAGCAGTCATTCGTTTTGGAGCTGTATCACATGGTCTGGTAATTACTGGCTTGTGTGTGCTCACAGCTAAGCTTTTGCGTATTCCCCAGAGAAACCCTGTCTCGCAAAACCAAAGGGGGGAAACAATGAAGACTGAGGTTAAATGCATACTAAAGACTGGCCTGAACCAGCTTCCCTTATCCTAGGCTTTGCTTCAGTCTCCTTTTTCTTCATTTTCCCAGCAGTCGCTCCTGTTTCTTTATGTTCCTCTCCGCACATCCCTTCCCTCTCCCTTCCACGAAGACTGACCCACTGAGTTGTAGTTTTTCTAACTGATCTCAAGGTAGACACATACAGGCCCTTCCAGGGATTTGGGTTTTGAGTGTTTTTAGTGGTTTCACACTGAGGTGTTGTAATAATAAGTAACAAGCATTAGAAAGTTGCCAGTTATGAGAGTCCACACCAAGTTGTCCTCCCTCGTCCTAATTCTGAAATTCAACTGATGGTTACTAGAATACAAAGAAATGTGTTTTATCTTTGCCCCTGAACTAGGTGAGACTGCTTGTCTCTGCAGGCCCTCCTTCCACCCATGGGTCTTAGTTTTCAGGTGTGAGGAAATATGAAACAGAACTGGGCAGAGTCTGTGAGAACTGTGGGCCCCCCTTGGGTCTTCCTGGACATCATCTTACTTAGTGCATTTTAAAGGGCTGATCCCTCCTGACGTCAGTTAAGATTCCTAACTAATAACCACTCACCACTGTGATTTTCCTGCATGCTACAAAGTAACATTGAGCATATTTTTCTTTTGTCTCTTAGGCTTTAGAAAATTTACGTGTTTACCTGTGTGAGAAAATCATAGCAGAGAGACATTTTGATCATCTGCGTGCAAAGAAAAGATGAAACAGAACTGGGCAGAGTCTGTGAGGACTGTGGGCCCCCCTTGGGTCTTCCTGGACATCATCTTACTTAGCGTGCATTTTAAAGGGCTGATCCCTCCTGACGTCAGATCATTGCCTCATACCCGTTAAGATTCCTAACTAATAACCACTCACCACTGTGATTTTCCTGCATGCTACAAAGTAACATTGAGCATATTTTTCTTTTGTCTCTTAGGCTTTAGAAAATTTACGTGTTTACCTGTGTGAGAAAATCATAGCAGAGAGACATTTTGATCATCTGCGTGCAAAGAAAATACTCAGTAGAGAAGACACAGAAGAAATTTCTTGCCGAACTTCAAGTAGGAAAAGAGCTGGGAAGTTGTTAGACTACTTACAGGAAAACCCCAAGGGACTGGACACCCTGGTGGAATCCATTCGCAGGGAGAAAACACAGAACTTCCTGATTCAGAAGATAACGGATGAAGTGCTAAAGCTGCGGAATATAAAACTGGAGCATCTCAAAGGTGAGTGATGCTGTACAGCAAAGAGTTAACAGCGCTTTTCACACGTCAAAACTGACCTTTTTTCCCCAGAAGCTTACGGGTCAATTTATGTTTCTTACCAGATACATTATCACGTTACAAAAGTGATATAAACCCAGTTGGCTGTGTTTGTATTCACTTAACAAAAGTGCTTGTAGAAGTTTATCTCTAAAATATGCCATAAGCTTAATCCATTCAGAAATAAGCTCAGAAAACACCATTACATTGCATTTTAAGAAGAGGAGCTATGTGGCTTATGCCTATATTCCTAGACTTAGAATACCGAGGCAGGAGGATTGCCACAAGTTCAAAGCTAGCCTGGGTTACATTGTGAGTTCCAGGTCAGCCTGGTATGTAGAGAGACCCTGTCCTGTCCTAACAACTGAAGAACAATCTATAGGTGAAAAATTTTAAGTTTAGCTGAGCTTTTGTGGTTTCTCCCGCCAGGTGGCCAAAAGCAGTAATTGGCACATGCTTATAAGATTCACACATAAAGTATACTGAGTCTGAACCTAGTCTTTGTGAGAGGCTTAGGACCTGAGGCTGCCAGAAGAGGATCAGGTCACCTCCCATTTCACCCTCAGCCCACGGCCTCTGATAGGATGTCATGTACAACTGCCTGCTCAGTGTAAATGCCCAACTGCTCCTCCCTCCCTCCCTCCCCGCTTCTCCAGAGCACTGGGTCACACACACAAGCTTAGGATATAGCTGTGCGCCTGCTGCTCTTGACATTGGTAGTAGAGAAGTCAGTCCTTTAAGGATCAGCCCATAAGAAACTGCAATCTGTATGTCTTTGTTACGTCTCCCCTTCATGAGCTTTATAAAAGTGTCTGAGTCAGGTTTGGTGAAATACACCTGGGACACTTAGGCAGAAGGGCTGTGATTTTTGAGACCAACCTAGGTTACTCTCTAAGATCTTGTCTCAAAAAACCAGTGAGACAGAGAGATGGGCCAAAGGGTGTATCTAATATTGAAAATGTTAGCAGAAAAGATGACATGCAAATTCACTTTTAGACATCTTTGACTTTACCTATGACTGTCAGCCCAAGGAGGGGCTCCTGTGCCTGTAGACAGGCACATGCCCTGTGTGTAAGTGTAACAGACAGTGTTTGTGTCCATCCTGTCCTGGGGTAATTGTCCATTAGACCTGTAGACAGCCACATGCCCTGTGTGTAAGTGTAACAGACAGTGTTTGTGTCCATCCTGTCCTGGGGTAATTGATGGGGAAGTATTTCTGTGTATATTTATCTTATTGATTGTTAAATAAAATACTGTTTGGCCGGGTAATTGTCCGTTAGACCCTCAGGACATGATAGAATTCTTTGGTGTGAGAACCAGGACAGGCACTGTCTAGTTAGACCCGCAGGACATGATAGAATTCTTTGGTGTGAGAACCAGGACAGGCACTGTCTACCTGGAGTTCTTACCCTGCATGGCTCACCTGTTCAGTGCCTGTTTTCTCAACCCTAACAGTAACAGCGAGTGTCTCAGGTGACCACTAAATCTGCTTAAGTGCTAACACCAGGTTACTCAAGAACCGTAGTTGCCATTGATTGGCTTGTAAGATTTGAGTATGTTCCTGATTACATTCTGTTTTTATCACGTAAGAGTATCAAGCCAGAATGCTACAGAATGTTGCTTAGATAAAATCTGAGTTCTAGGTCATTCTGGGCTGCTTAACACGTGCAGAGCTAACCTGTGCTACATGGTGAAACCCTCTCTCAATGGAAAAATTATGAAAAATTATAGGAGCTGCTTTTTTTTTTTTTTTAAAGGATTTATTTTTATATGTCCGAGCTATTTCCCTACACTTATGTGCCTGGTGCCTGCAGAGGCCAGAAGAGAAAATCAGATCTCCTGGAACTGGAGTTACAGATGGTTGTGATCCGCCATGTGGATGCTGGGAACTGAACCAGGGTCTTCTGGAACTGAACCAGGGTTCTTAACCTTTGAGCCATCTCTTGGCCTCCCCACCCCCAACCCCATCCTTCAGCCATTAACTATGCAAGTAACTATTGAATGTGAGCAGTGCGGCTCTTAGCTTGCTTGAGATGGTGTCCTTAGCTTGAAAATGTAAATAGTAGTATTCTTGTCAGGAAAGCAAGTGTGTAAGTTTGATGAGAGCATCTATAAATTGCAACTGAAATCCTAGTGCTGAGCATCAATACCACCCTGTAACCCCAGGTCTTAGGAGGTGGTGGCAGGAACCAGCCTTGGCTCCATAGTGGGTTCAAGGCCAGTCTGGGCTACATGAGACCCTGTTCCAAACAAGTTGTCCTTGTATTGTAACTAGCTCACAGTCCTGGAGAAGTTGCTGGGTGGGAGGGGTGGGCATTTTTTGGTTCCTTTCTCATTTGCCTCTGTTCTGTCGTAGGCCTGCAGTGTAGCAGCTGTGAGCCCTTTGCAGCTGGAGCCACCAACAACCTCTCTAGGTCCAATTCGGAAGAGAGTAATCTCTCTGAAAAACAGAGAGCGTCCACTGTCATGTACCACCCGGAAGGAGAGTCTAGCACCGCTCCCTTTTTCTCTACTGAGTCCTCTCTGAATTTGCCAGTCCTAGAAGTTGGCAGAACTGAAAACGGCAGCTTCTCCTCAGGCACACTTCCTCGACCTGGGGACCCCGGGGCACCCCCTCTGCCCCCAGATCTGCGATTGGAAGGAGGAACTTATGGAAACTCCAGTGAAATGTTTCTCCCCTTACGATCACGAGCTCTTTCACGCCAATGACACCTCACAGCCTAGTTTTTTTTTTTAATAGTAATGAAAAAATGTTGTAAATGATATCATCTTTTTTATAAAAGCCACTGTAACAGTTCACTCACATTTGCTAAGTCTTTTAAATCACAGTGCACACATTCTCTGTAAATAGGATTTGTTAGATAAAGAAGCACACTCTGGGAGTAACTGGATGTAAAGCATGGTTTTCCATGTTGACCTTTTTTTTAAATTTTAGATGTTTAGTATTTCGAACTTTTTGTGTTTGTTATAAGACTGATTTTCTGAGACTATTTCTCAATTTGAGAAATCAGCTCCTGAGCTGAGAATAATGTTTCTTCGCACATTTATGTTACAAATGTTCAGTCTGACCATCTTTCCAATGACCTGGCAGTATGTTTCAGCAGCAGACTGTTCTGACCTGCATAAAGCCAGACCCTGGGAGAGCGGCCTAACACTAAGGAGAGTCTCCCGCTCCTTGGTTCTGAGAAATACCTGATGGCACTGAGCCACAATTCATTTTGTACTGCTCTTGCCCACTGATGTGACTGCCCTTGGATTTTACAGAATTTTGTGTCATCATTCCTACCCTAAAGAATATTGTCTTAAACCAGGCACACCTTTAATTCCAGCACTTGGGAGGCAGAGACAGGTGGATCTCTGTGAGTTCAAGGCTAACCTGGTCTACAGAGGGAGTTCCAGGACAGTCGGGGCTACACAGAGGAAAAAAAAACGAATGTTATCCCAATAGGATATTACTTGTAATTAATTGATATTACTTGTAATAGATTAAAAATACTTCTTCTGGGCCGTTTATTCTTTATCAGTGAATACTGCTTTATGGATAAAATAACTAAAACAATTGATTTTGGGTTGTGTGACAATCTTGTTTTTAATATTTGTATCAAGCAGCCACTAGCTACAACTATGTTTTTATTATATTACAAAGTTTGACTGACTTTACACATTTGAAAACTGATTGTCTTCATTTAAATTATAATTTTACATATTTCCTGACATCCACCTCCTATGTATTTCTATTATTTAAAAATTAAGAAATGAAAAGTTGCTATTAACAATAAAAAATTTTTTTCAAGGTAGTGATGTTTTAGAGTCAAAAAATTAAAATATCTGAGTTTCAAGTGTCTAACCCTTTATATACTGGTTTTTAAAACAAAACAGCATTTCAAAGCCAAATGTGGTGTGCATGCCTACAGTTCTGTCACTTGGGAAGTAGAACCAGGAGCATAGTGAGTTTGAGGTTATACACTTGAGTTCAAGGTCAGCCAGAGCCCGTAGTCATGAGGGTCTCAGAAAGCAGCAGGGAGGGGAGAGGAAGAAGAGGGGACATAAATTGACAGGATGGCTGACTCAGCAGGATATAATTTGATATTAAGGTCGTGGATACAGTAGTCAAAGTTACTTTTCAGGAATACAGAGTAACAGTATAAAAATCATACCTCCCTGTTTTTTTTTTTTTGTTTTTTTTTTGCTTGTTTTTGAAAAGCATGTTTTTTGTACAGTTGTGGGTTTAACAGAAAAAATGAGCGGAGTATTAAACACCTCCCTCTTCCTGGTTCACATACTTACTGATGTGCTGACTTGTTATTGGTGAACCAATATTGATACATTGTTAATAACTAAAGTCCATATTTGGGTCCTCCACTGTCTAAGTTGCAAGTTTTTAGAAATGTGTATTACATATCTGCTGCAAAAGTGTCATAACCAAATAGTTGATTTCACTGATGCAGCTGTTCAGCTCCCCCTCCATCCCAGCCCTAGCAAACACTGACCTTTTCTAGAACATCTCATTGCATAAGGAACAGAACCCCCTCAGGCATTTCAGGGTGTGTTCCTCAATGAAGAGGCTCACTTAGCATAGTACTTTAGGGATCAATCAGGCCAGGGTAGTGGCAGTTACTAAATTAGGTAGGCACTTTTTTTAATCCTGCTTTTTAGTTTTTGTTTGCATTTTCACCTGTTTTAACTCTGTATAAGTATATATGTGTGTTTCAAATTCTGGCTATCATATGTCCAGCAGGCTCTTTTCTGACTCAGCCACCTCCCCAGCCCCTGAAAATCTGCTCCTTGAGTCTTTACTTTGAGTGCTAGAGATTTTCATCTGTCCAAAAGACCTTGCTACTTGAAAGTTTTCTGGAAGTTCTATTGTTTACTTGTCCACTTAGCTCTCATTCCTGGTTGGTTTGTTTTTGAGATAATTTCACAATAACCTGAGTTGGCCTCAGACTCTGTAAACAAGGGAGGCCTTGGATGTCTGAGCCTCATGCATTCCCTGCCATCTCCCCAGGACTGAGCACAAATACTGCACCACCACACCAGAAGTGAGGATGATTTGGGGGACCCCAGGACTTTGTACTTCGGGAACATTTTTATCTCTGTCAGTCTAGGTACTTAAATGGAACTTCTTTTAGGGACACTCAGACCTATTTCCCTATTTCTCATAAATTATAATCCAACGGTATCCATAGATGTAGTCCATGGACACGGCCACTGAAATAGTTACTAGGAAAGTAAACGTCAACAAGGCAGTCTACCCCTTCCATCGGCAAACTCACAGCATTGTCCCGTAGAATTTAGGAGGTAAGAATGCAACAGAATGGCAAGTTGCTAATGAGTGCCACCTTTACCAGGGATCTGAAGATTTACAATGAATGACAGGGAGGAGGTAAAATTACCACACTGGCTTCTAGTTTGTGGCAATTCTCCTGACTCATCCTCCCCAGTGCTGGGGTTAGGAGTGTGTGTTTCCACTCCCTCCTGCTTGCTTGTTCTTACTGGTTTTTTGGGGTTTTTCTGTTTGGTTTTTTTTTTGCTTGTTTGTTTTGGTTTTGGTTTTTCGAGACAGGGTTTCTGTGTGGCTTTGAAGCCTATATTGGCACTCACTCTGGAGACCAGGCTGGCCTCGAACTCAGAGAGATCCTCCTGCCTCTGCCTCCCGAGTGCTGGGATTAAAGG